GTTTCTTGACCAAACATCTTACCTCTGTACACACGAGAGCTCTTCTAGCCCACGGGAGCTCTTCTAGCCCAGACTTAACTGAGCCTGCTCAGACCGTTTTGCCTAAATACTTCTGAGTGTTCTATCAGACCTGGAGGTACCGAACATCAGGACCTCTATAATAAGGCCGACCTCGAGGTATCGAGGTCGTACAATCCAAGGTCAGGTTCGACCTCGGGTAAGGCGCAACAAAGTGGTTATGAGGTTGAGGTTACGGCCTGAGGACCTAAGAGTTGTATAGTAAAGGGAAAAGGATTATAGTAAAAAGAAAAGTATCACTTGCTCAAGGGACTTGCGTAGATAAAGGTGTAGTAAGTTAGGAAGTATGATCTGGTTGGATCTCTTTATTGATATATTATTCTACGCCTTAAGTTACATATTTTCGTATATATTTGTTGAGCAAGTTCTGACTTGAGTATCGAAGATTTTTCACGGGGACCCCCTTCCCGACGTATTGCAGGTCACCGGAGCTCGAAGACGAAAAAAGTTCACGGCGTAAGCTGTTCAACCCGATTCGTGGTAGAAGTGACGTAATATATATATATATATACTAGTAAAGTGCACGTGCGATGCACGTGGTGACGAATGTTTTTTACCTATTAAATTTAGTAAGATAAATTAATTAATTTATTACACATATGATTGCAGGAACAAAATAAAATGTAGAATAAATAAACTTTTAATGCATTTTTTTAAATAACAAAATGATGCCGTAACATGAAAAGATTTAAATATCATATTACAACTCCAACAAAAATATATGAAAAATGAGTTCCTAATAAAAAATAATAAATGACTAAATAAAGACATAATGTATACTGTAGATGCATGAGTTCTTTTATTTATTTATGTTAGATTCAAGAGTCATTTTCTTTCATTTTGATTTTGATGTTCTCATAAGAAACATTCATACTCGTTGAATTCTAATACATCAATAGTATTGCAAAATTCTTCTTAATTAATTTGACAAAACGTCTGTTTTATTCAACACTTAGAAATACGTTAGTCAAACATATAGTCAGACTTCATGATTGTATGATCATTATAAGGTATTTCTACTAACAGTTCATAAGTATCTTTGTGAAATAAACAATTGTAGCATTAAATTTCTTGATATTTGTGTCATTAAAATTCTTGATATTTCTTTTAATCACTGTATAAACTACTACATTTCTCCCCCCCCCCCCTCTCTCTCTCTCTCCACATAGGCAAATTGGTACTTACCCCATGAGGTGGGAATGAATTTCATCTCTAAATAAAATTTGATTTTCCAATTCATGTACTTATCTGAAGATGTATTAAATTATTTTTTTGAAATCATCACACATTATATGAAAATATATACTCTAAATAATTGCGCGTATGATCGAGCACAATACACAGTTATGATTGTAAATATTCCTATCAAAAAGTGACAACTTATTCAACATTCAAAAATATTTTGATTAGAATCAAACATTCTCTTTTCAGTGTTATTTATTTGGAAGAGAAATACCTTCCATATTCTTTCGGGTTCGCAATATTTATGTGTCTAATAACATTTAATGCATTTATTGTCCAACTTTTTGTACCATAACTATTGCTTAAAAAAATCAAGATAAAGATCCGTTATTGATTCTTCAATAATAACAAAACAAAACAAAACAATGAGACAATATTGAGAAGCATATTATTTGTCAAAATATTTTAGATGTGAAGAATTTGAATTATACTATATTATGATACTCTTAGCCATCTGTTAACTTTCTTATTATGAAGTCATTATTAAATTTTGTGGTCTATCTTATTATAATATTGAATCATTATTTATGAGAACCAATTTCTTATAGAGAACATATACTTAAATGATAGTAGCAAAAAAGTAGTAATTTTAAAAGATTTTTGTTTCTTGATATTAGTATTCATACTTTTCTAAAAAAAAATAGATTTTTGTTTCTTGATATTAGTGTTCATAATTTTCTAAAAAAATTCAGAATTTTTCTTTTCCTCATTGCATTACTATTATTTTACTTGTTTTTTTATTTTATTCACAAATAATATTTTATTTGTTGAAATAATTAGAGAACATTTATATGCAATGCGTTTTTTTTACGTGTTTGATATTAATAATATACTTGATAAAAATGTAGTTTTATATTGTTTATAAGATTAAAAAGTTTTTAATTTTTTTCCATGTTCTAATAAAATATTAAGTAACTAATTCATGTTTATATTCACAAAAAATATATTTTACAACCATTATGGTGTCCCCTTTCAAGCAATAATTGAATAACAGTTTAACATACAACCCATTTATTTTTTTCTCTTAATTCACATATTTAATATTGGTAATTTTTGTACATTTACATCTAGTTGCACTTTTTTAGTATAAATTTTTCAAATCTATGTTAGAAAAATATACCACAAGTTGATCTAATGTTATTTTATAATTAATAATATTGATTTAACAGGAATCTATAATTATTTTACAAGATTCTTTTAGGTCTATTTATTATTTTAAATTGCTATTGATATATATATATATATATATATATACACGTTATTTTACATCGATAGAAATAATTATATTATTTTTATTTTATTTCCAAAACATTGGTAAAATCAAGTATCATGGGAAAGAAATGATGTGATGTATTACATATAAAAAGGTAACAAAAAAAAATTAAGTATTTTAAAATTAAAAATAATGGTAAAGATTAACTAATTTTTTAACTAAAAAATTATGACAAACATACCGATTTCTAAGACAAAAAAATAAATATATTTTTTATAAATGTGCATCTCAAATATATTTTACATTTATCCTTCGCTAGCTCCAATTGATATAGGACATTTATTAATTTTATCATTTTTTTACTTTTTAGTGGAATGTGAGTTATAAGCTTTCTTGTTGTGTAGTTTTACCTTTTTATTACGTAGAACATCATTCTTACATCTTGTTTAGTATTAATATTACCTTTTCAGTAGAACATCATTCTGACCTCTTCTTTAATTATTATAATACTAATAAAATATTTAATGACTTTTCAACTTAGATGTATCTTTTTTTTTAAATTACTAATTATCATAAATTAAATATGTTATATTTTGTATCACTATCAACAATTTTCAAAACAATTAACTGAACACAATATTATATATAGTGAAAAAAAAAATTTAGTTTGATTTGGAGTCATACTTTTACTACAAGAAAATGATGAAATTCCAATGAAAACATATTACAGCGGAATTTCAACAACAGTTCAAACGAATATTTCAACGTTACTATTCTCGTTTAAATTTTTCAATGAAAATTTTAACAAAAATATTTTGTTGCAATCATGTGCAGATCCATGTTTGTCCATTAGTCCCGAAACAGGCCTCATCCCAAAACAAGTAGCATAAGATATCTAACAAACATTATGGGAAGAATTTTCATAATTTTAGTCATGTCCTCTATTTAGAAAATAAAATTAAAAGAATAAAGACAAATAATGAATTAATTTACAGCTCAACCAATTATAATTAATTTCAGCTCATAGCGTTATTAAAGTTACAACATCAAAGCGGTATTCCAACTAAAGAAAATATGATATTTATCAAAGTTTACAATTTTAAGCTCTATTTCTCTCTTTTCTTTTTATTCTTGATGATATCTCATTATCTCTCTTTTGCGACATAATTTTTATGTAATTTTAAAAAATATATTTGATGTCTTTTAAGTGTATGTAGAATTCTAGTTATATATTCATAATTTATACATTCATCTATTATATTGTCGAGTCAACTATACTACAACATAAAATTTTTGTTCATAAATTTTTTTTGAAAAATGTATTATTTTCTGGTGATTTTTTATGTCGAATTGAGAAAAAATATGCTTTTTTTAAATTTTATTTAAGTTATTGTGATTGTATTGATGTGTTAAAAAAAATAATACATATGAGAAAGTTGACAATTATGAAAATTATACTTTATTAATTGTAATGACATTATGTTATTTTGATGCTATACTTTTTGTACTAATTAAATAGTGCTCTTAACATGAAATTATTTTGGATTCGCCATTGCAGCTATTTTTTTAATGGAACTTTCATTGATATAATGGTACTATATCGATATAAATTCTTGGTAAAAATTAATTAATTTCAACGTATAAAGGCATATCATAATTCTCTATATATTTTTAAATAGGTGAGTAATGGTACTATATCGATATAAATTCTTGGTAAAAATTAATTAATTTCAACGTATAAAGGCATATCATAATTCTCTATATATTTTTAATTAATGATGGATAAAAGTACAAATAATTGAATGAAAAATTCATATATTTTAAGTGTTAATAATTAAAAAATTACACAACTTGATTTTAATCACCTAATGGTCACATGAAGATTCGTTAACTCTATTTTATTTAATTAAATATTAGTGATTAACTAAAAATATAAGATTTTGAAGAGTATTAGTGTATTATTAATTTGCCATTAAAAATAAGTCAAAGTAAAAGTTTTTTTAGGTAGTTCATTTATTAATTAAAATATAAAATAAGATGGGTATTATTGTATTACTAATTTGCCATTAAAAATATATCAAAGTAAGGGTTTTTTAGGCCGGTCATTATTTTTACAAAATCACTCGTCCTTTTATAATAATATAGATATAGATATAGATTGATAGATAGATAGATAGATAGATATAGATATATATATATATATATATATATATATATATATTTGTCTGTGTGTGTGTGTGTACGGATTTCTGAAAATGATGTTGCAATTATTTAATTTTTATTTTTGAAATCAGTGAGATTTATTAAAAGTAAAGTTGTGATTTGATAGAAAAAAAAAAATGATGCCTCGAAAGTTAAAAATGTCCTTTGGTATCATCCAAAAGATGAAGGTGTTGGTGAATTTAAAAGGCGCTTTCACCCGCTCATACATGTCTATAAATACTCGCTCATACATCGTAACCCATACCACTCACCAAGTAACTAATAATCCAATTAGCCACCATACACCCACAAGTAATGATGGCAAGCCCCCCTTCAATTTCAATCCCTTTTCTATCCTTGTTGCTTATTATCGCAGTCTGCATTGTCCCACGGATGACTGCTTTTGACCCACTGTTTCGCTATGACAATGCAACCCTGGAATTAGCATCCCAAGACTATGGACTCATAGTTCGTGACAGGCCGGATTCCGTGTTTGAACCTAAATATGTGCGTGACATCCAGTTTCTGATTCGGCAAAAATATAACCGCCATGACAAGAACCTTTCCCTAAGGGCGCACGCCCATTCTACGAGGGGACAGTGCCAAGTCCTGGGCGGCATAGTGATCAATATGACTTCCATTAAAAATACAAGTAGGATAAACATTGGTCATAATAATATAGGTTACTATGCAGATGTCGGGGGCGAGCTGCTGTGGTTAGACATTCTCAAGGCCACACTTAAGCGTAATCTTGCGCCTGTTTCGTGGACGGATTATCTTCACGCCAGCGTGGGCGGAACACTCTCTAATGGGGGTATAAGCGGACAATCGTTTAAGCACGGTCCCCAAATCTCCAATGTTTATTCTCTAAATGCAATTACGGGTAATATATATATATAATAAGTTTCCGTAATTAATTTTATTTCTCACCAGTCACCATATCTTTCTTTACCTCCCTCTGTTTCATGCATATTTCTTTTTGGTATGCATGCATATCCATTTAGGTAAAGGAGAAATGAAAACTTGCACACCAACCTCCAACTCTGACCTATTTAATGCCGTTCTCGGTGGCCTTGGACAGTTTGCCGTCATTACACAGGCACGAATCAGACTCGACAAAGCACCAACAGGGGTAATATTTTATACTTAATGTATTCCATTTAATTACTGACATTATGCATTACTATTGATTGATTGCCACATTTTATGGCATTTTTTCTTTTATATTCATAATTCCATCTCTTTCTGTGATCACAGGCAACAGTAACGAGATTGATGTATAGTGACTTTCAACGTTTCTCAGATGACCAAGAGTTTCTTATTTCAAGCGATCTTCCAAACTACGTCGAAGGTTTCGTTATCGTAAATAACATTATACCCAGCGGTTGGATAACTTCCAATTCTTCAGTCACTCTAAGAGATATTGATGCCCTGTTGAAGAACTATACTGTCCTATATGCCATTGAATTTGCCATGTATTATGACAATCAAACTTCCGACACTGTTCATCAGGTACTATATATATATGTTTACCCACTCATTAATTACTTTATCCATTAATTCTTCTTACAAGAGAGGCCAGATTAGTTCCACTACAATTATATATATATTTATATTATATTATTAAAGTGTATGAATTTCAATTAATTTATAATTTTTTTTATCCTCGTAACAGAAATTCCAAATGTTGGTTGGCAAGTTGACGTTCATCCCTAACTTCAGCTTCACTGTGGAGATGTCCTACTTCGATTTCCTTTACAGAGTCGGAGACTTGGACACTATTCAACAGCAATACCCGCAAGCTCATCCATGGCTAGTTCTATTTATCCCGGGATCCCAAAAGAATGATTTCAATAAATATGTATTGGCCGGCTTGCTTCCGCAACTTGGCCAAGCACCTACCATCCCCCTTTTCTACCCACTAAACGCAACAAAGTAATTCACAATTCATGAATTCATCATCTAAATTAGTCACTTATTCTTTTTTCTTTTTTTTTGGTTATAATTACCTAAAAATGTTGTTAACTGTATATGTTACATTAAAATTATGCACAGATGGAGTAATAAAACCTCTGCAGTGATACCAGATGAGGAGATATTTTATACTTTGGGACTTCTACATAGGAGTGCAGTCTCTCATTACAAGAAATTTGATCGTTTCAACCAAAAGCTTTTGAGTATATGCAGAAAAAATGGTATCATCTGCAAGAAGTACCTTCCGTACTATGACAACCAGTCACAGTGGATTGAACATTTTGGATCCAAATGGCAAACCTTCTTTAATAATAAAAGGAAGTTTGATCCAAAATTTATGTTGTCTCCAAGCCTAAATATTTTCTAATAGATGTGTTTCATGTGCTCTACAATAATTGCCATTTGGCATACCCTTTGAATAAAGAGCATATATATGTACTCTAAGTTATCTTGTTTGCATCCCAATTTCCATAAATTCAGTATTCATAGAGTTGGGATAATAATAATAATTTTCCTTTTACGTATTTGGTATCAAATTCTCTGGTGTTTATAGTTTAAATTTCACTTTGAATACCCAAACATTATCACCTTTTCACGTTTTAGTACCTTGTGTTGACGTAGTTTTTATTTTAATAGTGTTCATTGGGAATATCGATCTATCTCTATCATGTCTATCAGCAAACCATGTTCAGAACTGGGTTTGGACAATTTCATACAAAAGAACAGAAACTATAGTTATTGCTCTAAACACATGTGGATTCGTTTATTTAATTAAACTAAGAGAAAGCATAAAACTGATAAAATAGTAATACAAGGAAAAAATAATACTAAGCGCTCCAAGTCTAAAAAAGATGGATACGTGTAACATGGATTATGGAACATTTTATCGAGCGATCAAACACTAGGTCATAACTAGAGGTCTCTGACAGGGGGCATGTCGGGATTCCCTCGCAAAAAGACCTGCGAGGTCATTTGATGAATAACTGGCTCGATGTTCAAAATACATTAACATGGAGGAAGCATGGGCCTAATGACAAGGCCAAGGCTAAGAAATGTGAGGAGAAACCTCGGTCAGATAATAAAAGGTTGTCAAATGGGGACTCAAGAGCAGAGGATCGCTGCAAGGTTAGGTACAAGTATGGACAATATACACCCTTGGAAAAGCTCCAAGGGAGGTTTTTGAGGTTCTTGAAAAATGAGGGAATGCTTGCATCCTTTCACGATGAACTCCTATCCCAATAGGCGAGGGTACAATCTATACATGTATCCTTTCACAACCTACAAGTTTCATAGGGATTATGGCATTTATACCAATAGCTACTGGGAGTTGAAGGATGAAATTGAACGATTAATCCGAGCTGGACATCTAAAGGAGTTTGTATTAAAGGAATAGAAAGAAAAGGAGGACTAGTGTTTTACCCAAAGTGCGTCGATCTGGATTAAGCTGATAATTACCGTGACATGTACGATAAGGCTAAGCCATAATATCTCGAATCCCAAAGTTCAAGGACTGTTGGGAAAAATACGCTGAATTTTCCATGAAGTCGGATCGATAAAAGTGAAATAAAAAAATAAAAATTGGACACACCAATTGATAACGGAGTTCGGCCAATAATGCCTACGTCTCCGGACTACTGCAGATATTTTATTAGGAAGAAAAAATACACTCGTGTTTACAAAACACTCTCGAAACTCACTCACAACTCACAACACAAATACACGCAGAAGCTAAAATTTTCTGCTTCTTGTTCACTCTTTTTCTCTCTTTCTCTCTTGTGTTGGTGTGATTTTTGTTCATTAGGATCCTCTCTATTTATAGAGAAGAAGTGCATCTCTTTTTCCACAAAACACAGCTCCGTGGCTGCTGCAATTTTCCTAGAAATGGGGCTGTCAACTTTGTGCAAACTGGCTGCTCATTTATTTTTTTTTCTTCTGATTGTGTGCTGTCAAAGTAATGGGGCTGCAGCCGCCATTTTTGACTCAACAATCTCCTACTTGAGGACTGATTTCAATCTGTCCTCACACCTCAATTTCTGCAGTAGTCTTCTCTGGTCCGTTAATCTAGCAAGCCAACTGAAGTTGAGCACAACTTCAGTTTGTCAATGGCCACCACCTTCGTTAGCATATCTGTTGGTTCTTGCTTCCTACAATCTTCTTCAATGTCAACACTTCATCATCAAGCAGAGATCTGATGAAATGATATCGTATGTCAATGTGCTTAGTTCTGGAGTGAAAGACTGAGTTCTTTGCCAGATGTATTGCACTCTGACTGTCACTGTGCAAGACACTCTCTTTTTGAGTGAAACCCAAATCTGCTAACAATCCTTGAAGCCATATCAATTCTTTACTGGCTTCTGTCACTGCTACATACTCAGCCTCTGTAGTGGATAGAGCAACAATCTTTTGTATCCGCGACATCCAACTAACAGCTGTAGCTCCGACAGTGAAAACATAACCGGTGGTGCTTCTTCGGTGATCAACTTCACCCCCAAAGTCTGCATCTACGTAGTCTTGTAACTTTAGATCTTCTTTTCTAAAGTACAGACATTTTTCTGTTGTGCCACGTAGATATCTCAAGATCCATTTGACTGCTTCCCAATGAGCTTTTCCTGGTTTTGACATAAACCTGCTCACAACTCCCACTGCATGGCCAATGTCTGGCCTCGTACAGACCATCGCGTACATCAAACTTCCAATGGCTGAAGCATAAGGAATCTTAGCCATGAACTCTTCTTCTTCTTTTGTTTGAGGAGACTGATCCTTGGATAGACGAAAATGGCTGGCCAAAGGTGTACTGACTGGCTTAGCCTTGTCCATGTTAAATCTCTGCAAAACACGGTTGATGTACTCTGCCTGAGATAACTGCAAAACTCCCTTTTGCTTATCTCTCGTGATTTGCATTCCAAGAATCTTCTTTGCTGGGCCTAAGTCCTTCATGTCAAATTCTTTTGACAACTGCATCTTTAATTTTCTGATGTCTTTCATATCTGATCCTGCTACTAACATGTCATCGACATAAAGTAGCAAGATGATATAGCTGGACTCATACTTCTTAAAGAAGCAACAGTGATCGGCATTGCACTTCTGGAAACCTTCCTTGTGCATGAAGCTTTCGAACTTCCTATACCACTGTCTTGGAGCTTGTTTCAGGCCGTACAAGCTCTTCTTCAATTTGCACACCATATCCTTCTTTCCATCTGAAAATCCTTCAGGCTGGTGCATATAGATCTCCTCATCTAGGTCTCCGTGAAGAAATGCAGTCTTCACGTCTAATTGCTCTAGGTAGAGCTCTTCACTAGCCACAATACTTAACACAGTCCTGATAGTATTGAGCTTTACAACTGGAGCAAAGATTTCAGTATAGTCAACTCCTTCTTTCTGCTGAAATCCTTTGACAACCAGTCGGGCTTTGTATCTCCTGGAACCATCATGGTCTTCCTTCACCCGATACACCCATTTGTTGTGAAGTGCTTTCTTTCCCATGGGTAACTTGACTAGTTCCCATGTCTGATTTGAGATCAAGGACTTCATCTCATCTTTCATGGCAAGCTCCCACTTGCTAGCATCTGTGGTTTGACAAGCTTCCATATAACTTTCAGGCTCCCCTCCATCAGTCAGCAGCATGTAGTCCATGTATCTCCTGTTAGGCACATGGGGCCGAGAGGACCTTCTCAATACAGGAGCTGGAGTAAGAGTTTCTGATTGCACATCACTTTCTTCATTTGATTCCTCTGACTGAGGACTCCTCGTTATAGGACTGTCTGGGATATCTTCCAGCTCAGCATAAACTGGCCCACTCACTTCTGAGTTGCTGGCACTTGTGTTATGCCGGTCCTTGTACATCACTCTTTCATTAAAGATGACATCTCTGCTGCGGATCATCCTTTTGTTTTCGTCATCCCATAAGCGGTAGCCAAACTCATCTTCACCATAACCAAGGAAGGTACACTTCTTTGATTTTGGATCAAGTTTGCTTCTACCTTGATCACTGATGTGCACATATGCTACACACCCGAAAACTCTAAGATGTGAGAGTTTTATTTCTTTTCCGCTCCATACCTCTTCTGGTAGCTTGTGATCCAATGGTACCGATGGACTTCGGTTGATCAGGTAAGTTGCTGTGTTGACTGCTTCTGCCCAGAACTGCTTTGGTAGGCCTGACTGCACACGCAAGCTTCTGGCTCTTTCAGTCAACGTTCGATTCATACGCTCAGCTACACCATTGTGTTGAGGCGTACCAGGCACGGTTCTCTCCATTCTGATCCCGTGCTCATAGCAAAACTTCTTGAATCTGGTTGTTACATATTCACCACCATTGTCGGATCTGAGCTTCTTGATCTTCAAGCCTGTCTCATTTTCCACTATAGCTTTCCAAATCTTGAAAGCTTCAAATACTTCTGACTTGTGTTTCAGAAAGTAAACCCATACTTTTCTGGAGTGATCATCGATAAAAGTCACGAAGTATTGCTTCCCACCAACGGATGGGACAGTGGTTGGACCCCAAACATCAGAGTGGACGAGCTCAAGCTTCTCCTTCTTTGGGGTTCTTCTACTTGTTTGAAAGCTGACTCTCTTCTGCTTTCCAAGTATACAACCTTCACACATGTCAATTTCTATTGACTGGAGGCCTGGTAATTTTCCTTTTGAGTGAATGATCTTCATCCCTTTTTCACTCATATGCCCAAGTCTTTGGTGCCATAGATTGGGACTTTCATTTGCTGCAACTGCAATCAGATGACATGCTACTGAGGTCTTGTAAAGAGTACCACTCTTTTTGCCTCGAGCAATTGTCATCGCACCCTTTGAAATCTTCCAATCATCACCATGAAAGATTGTCGTGTAGCCTTCACTGGCTAGCTGGCCCACGGAGATTAAATTCTTCGTCAGGTCGGGAATATGTCTAACATTTTTCAATTCCCATACAGACCCGCTCAGCTTGATTTTTATTGCACCTTTCCCTACAACCTCACTTGATTGCTCATTACCAAGGTAAACTTTACCAAGGTTACCAGGAACATAATTTTCGAGTAGTTCCTTCTGTGAGGTAGCATGAAAGGATGCTCCAGAGTCTAACACCCAAGACTCTTCTCTGTTCTCCAAAGAACATACCAGCATATCTCCTCCTGAGGATGAAGCAATATTTGCCTCTTCTTTTGCCTCTTGACCCTTCGGTGCACTCTTGCACTGGTTTCTGTAGTGCCCGGTCTTCCCACAATTCCAGCACTCGATTGACTTCGAGTTTTGGGAACTACGATGATTTCTGGACTTGGATCTTCTTCCTTTTGATTTGTTGTGTCTGCTTTCTTTGGTTGAACTTCTACCTCTGGACTCTGTATGCAATACAGAAGAGGTCGATGGTTCACCCGACTCTCTTCGCCGGATCTCTTCACTGAGAACCAAATTTTGGACATCATCAAATCTCAACTTATTGTTTCCCGATGAGCTGCTCACAGCCGTGATCGTAGCATTCCAGCTTTCTGGCAGGGAAGACAAAAGTATTAAAGCCCGTACTTCATCATCGAACTCGATCTCAACTGAACTCAACTGGGTTGTGACGGTGTTGAGCTCATTGAGATGATGTGCCACCGAAGCACCTTCGGTCATCCGAAGGTTGAACAATCGCCTCATCAAATGAACTTTGTTTGAGGCTGATGGTTTCTCGTACATGTTGGAAAGAGCCTTCATGAGGCCTGCTGTCGTCTTTTCTTTTGCAATGTTAAAAGCAACATTACTGGATAACGTCAGCCGGATGGCTCCAAGAGCTTGTCTGTCAAGGAGACTCCATTCATCCTCCTTCATGTCCTCTGGCTTCTTTCCTGTGAGTGGTTGATACATATTCTTTTGGTACAGATAATCCTCGATCTGCATCTTCCAAAAGCCAAAGTCCGCACCATCGAACTTTTCAATTTTCATTTTTCCTTCGTCTGCAGCCATCACTTCGACTCTGATCTGACTTCTCTGCCGGATCGTTTCTGTAATTTTTGTGAACTACCGTGTTTTAAAACACTTCCGTAGATAAATTGTAGCGCCGACAAAATTGGTACTATTCACGTTTTTCAACGGAATAGTAACACCACACAAAAAGATACAGAATTAACAATCTGGCTCTGATACCAGTTGTTGGGAAAAATACGCTGAATTTTCCATGAAGTCGGATCTATAAAAGTGAAATAAAAAAATAAAAATTGGACACACCAATTGATAACGGAGTTCGGCCAATAATGCCTACGTCTCCGGACTAC